GTGCATTTTTTTTGCAAAAAGCATATTAAAGGCAATTAACTGCATGACAAACACAGCTGAATGCAAATACACAAACTAACATACATTACAGATAACAAAAAAAAAAAAATTTAAATACGCATGTATATTTACAGCATGGCACAGTTGAAACTGCAGAGTATATTTAGGTTTGTTTTAATAGATATTGGCTATTTTTAAAACATGTTAAGACATTTGTGCAATACTTTTCCAAAATACTTTTTTTTATTTATTTATTTAAGTTTTAATGCCATATCAGCAGCATTGACTATATGGCGAAAACATACACTAAATATACAATATATAATAAAATCAAATAAGTTTCTTAACAAATACGCATTGTAAAAAAAAAAAAAAAAAAGTAGCAACAACACTGAAAAGAGTCATATACAGTCCTTTAGTTTGATTAAAGATAAATATTCTAAAAGTGCTCCAGAAGGCACCTTTTCAAACATTTCACTTAAAATATTTCCCGAATAAAAATGGTTCTTTCATGACAAATGCAGCTAAATACAAATACAAACTACAGAAAACAAAACAAAAAAATATGCATGTATTTTTCACAGTATAGCATGGTTTAAACTTCATAATATATTTATGTTTGCTCTAATAGACATGCGCTATTTTTAAAATATGTTCAGATATTTGTGCAATACTTGTCCAAAAAGCATATTAAAGGCAAGCAACTGCAAGACAAAGACAGCAAAATACAAATTACAGAGCTCAACACAAACTAACACATATTACAGAAAACACTAGCTCAACATTACAATATTTTTCACAGCACAGATGTTTGAAACTGCACAGTATTTATGTTTGCTCGAAAAGAAATGATTTAATTTTAAATATGCTTATAGATTTATGCATTTTTTTTCCCAAAAAGCATATTCAAGGCAATTAACTGCATGACAAACACAGCTGAATGCAAATACACAAACTAACATACATTACAGTTAACAAAAAAAAATTAAATACGCATGTATATTTACAGCATGGCACAGTTGAAACTGCAGAGTATATTTATGTTTGTTTTAATAGATATTGGCTATTTTTAGAATATGTTAAGACATTTGTGCAATACTTTTCCAAAATAGATATATTTTTTTTATTTATTTAAGTTTTAATGCCATATCAGCAGCATTGACTATATTCATGGTGAAAACATACACTAATAAATATACAATATATAATAAAATCAAATTAGTTTCTTAACAAATATGCATTGTGAAAAAAAAGTAGCAACAACACTGAAAAGAGTCATATACAGTCCTTTAGTTTGATTAAAGATAAATATTCTAAAAGTGCTCCAGAAGGCACCTTTTCAAACATTGCACCTAAAATATTTCCCGAATAAAAATGGTTCTCTAATATCATTTAAAAATACACAAATAGGTTTTTCCCAAAAAGCATTTCAATTAACTGCATGATAAAGACAGCTAAACACAAATACACAAACTAACACACAATACAGCCGACACTATCTCCCGATGTAACAAACTTTCAAAGTTACGCATGTATTTCTCACAGCATAGCACAGTTGAAACTGCACAGTATTTATGCTTGCTCTAATAGATATGGTGCATTTTTTAAATATTCAGATATTTGTGCAATTATTTTATAAAAAGCATATTAAAGCCAATTAACTGCATGACAAATACAGCTAAATACAAGTCCACAAACTAACATATATTACAGAAAACAAAACAAAAAATATGCATGTATTTTTCACAGTGTAGCATGGTTGAAACTTCATAGTATATTTATGTTTGCTCTAATAGATATGCGCTATTTTTAAAATATGTTCAGATATGTGTCCAATACTTTTCCAAAAAACATATTAAAGCCAATTAACTGCATGACAAATGCAGCTAAATACAAATACAAACTACAGAAAACAAAACAAAAAAATATGCATGTATTTTTCACAGTATAGCATGGTTTAAACTTCATAGTATATTTATGTTTGCTCTAATAGATATGCTCTATTTTTAAAATATGTTCAGATATTTGTGCAATACTTGTCCAAAAAGCATAATAAAGGCAATTAACTGCAAGACAACCACAGCTAAATACAAATTACAGAGCACAAAACAAACTTACACACATTACAGAAAACACTAGCTCAATATTTTTCACAGCACAGATGTTTGAAACTGCACAGTATTTATGTTTGCTCGAAAAGAAATGATTTAATTTTAAATATGCTTATAGATTTATGCATTTTTTTTCCAAAAAGCATATTCAAGGCAATTAACTGCATGACAAACACAGCTTAATGCAAATACACAAACTAACATACATTACAGTTAACAAAAAAAATGAAATATGCATGTATATTTACAGCATGGCACAGTTGAAACTGCAGAGTATATTTATGCTTGATTCAAAAGATATTGGCTATTTTTAAAATATGTTCAGATAATTGTGCAAAACTTTTCCAAAAAGTATATTAAAGCCAATAATCTACATGACAAATATAGCTAAATACAAGTACACAAACTAACACATATTACAGCCAACACTATCTCCCGATGTAACAAACATTCAGTCACGCATTTCTCACGATAGCACGGTTGAAACTGCACAGTATTTACGTTTGCTCTAATAGATATGCTCTCTTTAAAAATATGTTCAGATATGTGTCCAATACTTTTCCAAAAAACATATTAAAGCCAACTAACTGCATGACAAATACAGCAAAACACAAATACACAAACTAACACATGCTAACATGCCAACACCATCTCACGACGTTAAGAAAAACTTTACGCATGTATTTTTCACAGCATAGCACGGTTAAAACCGCACAGTATATTTATGTTTGCTCTCATAGATATGCTCTATTTTTAAAATGTGCTTGGATATTAGCGCAATCATTTTCACAATGTGTTAAAGCCAATTAACTCAACAATACAAGCATCTAAATAAAAAAAAAAAACAGTAGTAAGAATCTAAACACCGCAGTCAACGCACTCACTATAGGTTTGTATGTTGTCAAAATATTGGCCCAACCTAAGCCTCAATCTAATTGTGCGTATACGCATCCGCTAATTGCCGCACAGACTGAACATCTTCCATAGGTCCGTGTGTGTGTGTATATAGAGAGAGATGTAGCCTGTGCTAGAATGTCAACAGCGGATACATCAAGCAAAAAGAGGGTGCTGAAAAGGGGAGGGTTCAGCATCTGTCATCACGCACACCACAAAACTCAACATGAGGTTTCATGTCAACCCTGCGGACTCACACACACACACACACACAAGCAAACTGACGTGCCGTGCAATCAGGAGAGTGTGTGTGGAGCTGTCGTGTTGTTTAACATGCTCATAAAGCCCGGCCTGAGGTTAAATCAGGACCGAGTTAACGATAACAATGCTTTCACACGTCAGGGAAACACTCCGAGAAGCATCCCAGCACATCACTTAGTGAACATACTATCATGTTAAAAGCTTAAAGTAATACTTAATAACAGCCTTTACACCTTAAACTCGTCTAAATTAGGTCAGCGATGCCTGTTGTGTTAATACACCTCTGCTAACTGTAGCACATTACACATCTAATGGCTTATTAGAGCTCCCTAAAGGAAAGAAAAAACACATGCTCAGTGTCCACTTTGATTAAAACACATCACAAAAAAACACTCTACAGTAATGAAATCACTCATCATGTAGTGTGTTTTTTTTTTTTCCTGCTGATAGAGCTGAAGAGGCTTGGAAAACACACTTCAGTCTTAGCCAGGCAATTGTGTTTTCTAAATAACAAATGCAAACGCAATGGATTATAAGTAGCCGTGTTAAAAATGGAGGAGAAAAACAGTGTTTTGGTTTATTTTAGTTATGTTTTAATATTAAAATGAGGGTTTTTTTAAACAAATAAACATGAAAGTGCTTTAAAAAAGACAAGCATTTCAAGTTTGCGATGACACTCAGTGGTGTAACCTTCAACAAATCAATTCCTGACCTCAGGTTTCGAGTCTGACAACATCCGCAGGACTCAAACTCGGAGCTAAAGGAGGACAGAAACAGCCGAAGAAGCAGGGGGACATCTATAGAAAATGTGCATAATGTGGGCCACGCATCAAAAATTCATGCAAATGTGTGTTGAAGAACTACATAAAATGTAGTAAAATACAAGCCGGCTGATGGATGAAGTCCCGTATTAAGGATGAAAAATGTATGCGGCCACATATAGTAAATCCTTCAGCTAACTTCTCCATGCCCGCTTAGTGTTTTGATGCTAAAAAGTGCAAATGTGCAAGTGAGCAATTTTATTTCAACAATAAAATCTAACGAAAGCAATCAAATAAATTGAAATGCGTATAACAAAGCATAAATATTCACCTCGATAAATTGTTTGTTAAAAGATTTAGGGTGCAAATGCAAATTAACTATTAAAAATAAAGTGAACTACAACTCAAATTACTAATAAACTGAAATATACAGTCGCTCAATTTGTATCCGAACACAGGTTAGATACAATTTAGGATTAAAATAAAAACTGAAGCTTAGAATAAAAAGGTGGCTGCGCAAATCAGATGAGAGAGAATATCTTTGAGTAGACTATAATAGTAAACATCACTGCTTGATATATATATATACACACTTAAAGCTCTCGTATTCAATTAAATAAAATAAGTTTGACTCGCTGCTCATCATTTTGATACATGTCAACTTGCATAGTGCCAACTTATTTCTGACAGAAAGACATTTAACTGAGGTAAACACACCGCACGCTAAACTAACAATTAGCCTATCAATACACGCTAATTTACACAACTTTTACACAACAGAAAGCGCATCAGGTAAATGAAAACACACGCATTGGGAGTGCGATATGCGCGTGGGTTTACAGAATTACACATTCGATCTAACAGGTTATGCGGATACATGTCTGCGCGTTTCCTAATGACTAAAACAAAACCCGCAGCATTCGCGTACATTTGTAACAGTGTCTGGCGAAATATCAACAATAAAGCGACCTACCATGAACACTGGAGCTAGTGATCATCTTCTCAGAGGCGAAAACAGGAAAATGCGAATTCCAAAGGTTGCTTACAGCCACTTTTCCCCTCTCAGCTATCGAATTACACTGTGCCTTTTCGTCAGGTATTCATTTAACCTACATGCATATAATTAAGAAGGCAAAACCAACAAAAGCTCTTGGACAACATGTGAGAGGAGGAGAGAGAGGCGATGTGTGTGTGTATGTGTGTGTGAGAGAGAGAGGGAGAGCGAGAGAGAGAGAGGAAGGGGGAAAACACATGACCACGACAGCGAGCTCATGTCAGTTTTCCTCCCAGGCTGAGGTAAAACCTCCCTGGGTGTTAAAAGAAACGAATCCCCTTTCATGTGGATCTACATCATGTCTGTTTACTTTACCAACACGCTAGTTTAAAAATAAAAAACAAGGTTTTTGCAAATGCAAATAAAACTTTTTTTCTGCCTAAAAATGTGCATTTTGCTGGTCCAGAAAGTTACTTTGGGGGATTTTCAACCCCACCCGACGCTCGCTTTCCCGTGCAAAAATTGCATACAGACATAATTAAGCATATTCAAGTATCGCTGACCAACTTGAGCGCAAACATCCCGCCGCACGCGCGATCACATCTCTGATGCAAACACAGTCACAGTGTGTGTGTGTGACTGTGTGTGTGCGTGTGTTTGGATACGGACAGCACGAGCGCTTGATTTCAGCCTGGTTGCTGATGCATGGACTGGACATGCGTTGCGATAAAAGCAGGCGCTGCTCTCCTGTAGTCCAGTTAAATTGCTAATCTCGCTGCAAATCGCCGGGTTAACTCTTACCTGTTAGTCTGACAGGATCAGCTCTCGGGTTAGAGCGGCATCGATCCGACGGGCTCGCTGATGAATGCTTGTGCGGGTTAAGCGACTTGAAACCATTCCAAGTTAGTGTGGGGAAAGACTGACCACTGCCTCTGCCATGTTGGAATTTCAAACCCCAAACAGCTGCTCTAGAGAAGCACAGTGTGCCGCAGATTGCGCATGCGCGCTGCGGGAGAGCCAAATTCAAAGCAGCGCAGCGCGGTCCGTCAGATTACACAGTCTGAAAGGGGAGCAGCTCCTGTCACACTACTCTGTGAATTAAAAATAATAATCAAATAATAAACAGTGCATACAAAAAATAACTGAATATATTTTACGTGGAGTTACAAAGGTAAGAATATTTAGTGCTATTGATAGATTTAGGAAAATCCACTTTTTATTTACACAGAACAAATGTATAATATACATTTATAATATAATATAATAATAATAATCAAATAATAATAAACAGTGCATTTAAAAAAACAGTATATGTATACTATAAATAGATATTGTAAAAATCTGTGATATATTTAGCCCAAAAAATAACAGTGCACTTATAAAAACAGGAAAAGTGCTTAAAAATAATAAATAACACTATATATATATATATATATATATATATATATATATATATATATATATATATATATATATATGTGTGTGTGTGTGTGTGTGTGTGTGTGTGTGTGTGTGTGTGTGTGTGTGTGTGTGTGTGTGTGTGTGTGTGTGTGTGTGGAGTTATACAAGTGAGTATATTTAGTGTTATTAATAGATATTGGAAAATCCACTATATATTCACACTGAGAAAATGAAAAAAATTAAAATAATCGAATAATAATCATAAACATAATAAACTGCATGTAAAAAAAACAACTTACTTTTATTTACAGATATTGAAAAAATCTATTATATATTTAGACTGAAAAATTAACAACATATAAAATATAAAAACAGGATAAATATAAATATAACACAGAAAAACAGAAAAAGTGCATATAAAAATAATACATAGTTTTATTTATTATTTTCATATGCATGTTTTTTTTATATGCACTGTTATTTTTTCGTTATTATTTATTATTTGTATATGCACTTATATGTGATTATGTGTTAAAAGCTATTTGTTAATTTGTTAAAGTTATGGTAACTAATAACCTTAACCTATCTAAATATGTTTGTAATGCAATAATGGGCACCTTTTGTAAAGCTGCTGTGAAACGCTACATATTGTGAAAAGCGCTATATAAAATAAACTTGAATGGAATACTAAAGATAGACATTATAAAATCTATGATATATTTAGACTGAAAAAATAACAGTGCATATAAAAATAATAATAATAAAAATTAGAAACAGTGCCTATATATATATATATATATATATATATATATATATATATATATATATATATATATATGTATATATATATATATATATATATATATATATATATATATATATATATATATATATATATATATATATATATATATATATATATATATATATATATATATATATATATATATATATATATATATATATATATATATATATATATATATATATATATATATATATATATATATATATATTTTTTGCCATTTGTTATACATTTATTTAAAGGGGTGGTCCAGAGTGTATTTTTAAGGCTTGGTTGTGTTTATAAGATGCAAAGCAATGTGTGCTCATGCTTCATTTGTAAAAAAAATCACGTTATTTTTTCATATATCTTCCATTGATTATATACTGCTACTCAGCTAACATGAAACTAACAATCATATTTCCTAGTTCCTCCAAAAGCTCACCCTCAAGAGGCTCTGATTGGTCAGCTAACATAATGTACTGTGATACGCGGATCAGCTCCATGTCACCAGGAAAAGCGTCATGCCTCTGATAGCACACGGTTTTGCTATGTGTAAATACTGTCAGTCAGAGTAGCTGTTAGTCTTATCAATGAATCAGACAGAAAATGAAGAGGACACAGCTGAACCTCACACCTGCTTTCTAAAATAAATGCTTCAACCTGATCCCTTCATGTTATTTCAACACAGATTGATTGAGTTAACTTAATAGTTTTTACATATTTAAGTAAACTAAACATTAAACAAACATTAAACAAACTAAACAAACATATATATATAATATTTTGTTATTTGTTATACATTTATTTAAAGGGGTGGTCCAGAGTGTTTTCAGACAGAAAATGAAGAGGACACAGCTGAACCTCACACCTGCTTTCTAAAATAAATGAAATCCAGGCATAAAAATGTATGACAACATTTCAGATGACTGTTCTTGAGCCTACAGCTTATCAATCTTTCAGATTCTGGAGTGCTTTACACTTCATTTATTCATTTATTTTCTTGTCGGCTTAGTCCCTTTATTAATTCGGGGTCGCCACAGCGGAAAGAACCGCCAACTTATCCAGCAAGTTTTTACACAGCGGATGTCCTTTTAGCCGCAACCCATGTCTGGGAAACATCCACACACACTCATTTACACTCATGCACTACAAGCAATTCAGCCTACCCAATTCACCTGTAGCGCATGTCTTTGGACTGTGGGGGAAACCGGAGCACCCGGAGGAAACCCACGCGAACGCAGGGAGAACATGCAAACTCCACACAGAAACACCAAACGACCAGCTGAGGCTCGAACAGCAACTTTCTTGCTGTGAGGCGACAGCACTACCTATTGCGCCACTGCGTAGCCTGCTTCACAGGTGTAAAGAAAATTATAAATGATAAATTATCTTAAGTAAAACAAATACATTTATAGATATGGTATATAAGTATATAATTTTACTCACCTGGGAAAAGGAGTGAATGGTTTGTGAGCACAATAAAGTGCACACAGCATCTGTTTATTGTAAGAAATAATTTTAAAAAACAACTGACTGTGTAAAGCCACATAAAACAAAACAAAAATACAAAGATATGCCATGTTTAATGGCTAATCAGCCGGAATCAGGTTGAGTGACAGTGACCAGTGAGACCTAGCTGTCACTCAAGTGACCCCACCCTTAGTTATGCAGACTAAATACAACTTATTATAAACGAAACGGATGAGTTATAAAGAAATTCACCCCCTCACAGTTGTCATAAAGGGTAATATTAGCTTTATGAACCAAAATCCTTCTTTTGTTTTGCTGTAAAGTTGCCTATTTTAACTGTGGGGTCAATAGACATTTTCTCTATTATGGAGCCAGGACTAGTGGAATTTTGATGAATTGCAGTTCCAGTTGCTTCCGTATTAGCTTTCCGAAGGAGAGTGGGAGGTTGCTGCTTGGGTTTGATGGATAAATATGAATTTGTATTTGTCGCACCAATGTCTAGAACTAAAGTCATATTGACATCACATACAGGTGCGGCAAACAATATCTGACAGACGTCATAGTGGTAACGCCCAGACAACGTCAAGCTGTAACATCATTAGATTTTATTATTTGGTTGATTTTAGGTTGTATTGAAAAGTGACCAAAATCCAATGTCGCTGCAACGTCCTAAACCAAAGTCATATTGATGTCAAATACAGGTACGGCAACCAAAATCCAACGACTGATAGACGTCATAGTGGTTACGCCCACACAACTTCAAGCTGTAACATCATTAACTTTAATATTTGGTTGATTTTAGGTTGTGTTGAAAAGTGACCAAAATCCAACGTTAGGCCAACGTCCTGAATCAAAGTCATGTTGACATTAAATACTGGAATTTATTCATCAGGTATGGCAACCAAAATCCAATGACTGACAGACATCATAGTGGTAACGTCCAAACAACATCAAGCTGTAAAATCATTAGACTTCAATATATGGTTGATTTTAGGTTGTGTTGAAAAGTGACCAAAATCTAACATCGAGTCAACGTCCTAAACCAAATTCTTATTGACGTCAAATACTGACATTTATTTGTCAGGTATGGCAACCAAAATCCAATGACTGACAGATATCATAGTGGTAACGTCCACACAACGTCAAGCTGTAACATCATTAGACGTTAATATTTGGTTGACTTTAGGTTGTGTTGAAAAGAAATCCAATGTCAAGCCTACGTTCTGAATCAAAGTCATATTGAAGCCAAATACATGTACGGCAAACAAAATGCAATGACTGATAGACGTCATAGTGGTTACGCCCACACAACATCAAGCTGTAACATCTATAGACTTTAATATTTGGTTGACTTTAGGTTGTGTTGAATAGTGACTAAAATTCAACGTCGTGCCAACATCTTAAACCAAAGTCATATTGACGCCAAATACAGGTATGGCAACCAAAATTCAATGACTGACAACATAATGGTTACGTCCACACAACGTCAAGCTGTAACACCATTAGACTTCAATATTTTGTTGATTTTAGGTTGTGTTGA